TGGTGGTGAGTCCCGGATGTCCCAGTCCTATTCATGTCCTCCCTGGTCCACTCCTCCACTCTCCCTCAGCCCCCTCCCTCCGTGCTAAGTCTGTATGGAGAGCCCTGAGTGACAGCTGGCTGGGGCTCTCCGAACTGATTTCCATGAGGTCTTGTTATGGTTTAGGTCAACAATGTCCCCCCAAAGTCTCATGTGCTCAGAATTGGAGCTTTCAGAGAATCATTGGATCATGGGGGTGCACTACTCACCAGTGAACTGATCCACTGATCAGTTTATACGTAACTGTGATGTTAGAAGGGGGTCCTGTTTGGATGGGGGGTGTCAGGTGGCGTGAGTTTAGAAGACATATCTCCTTCCCTGGCTTCTCGTTTCTCTCTCTCCTTTCCGGCTGCCATGGGAGTGAGCAGCTTTCATCCACCATGCCTTTCTGCCTTAGAGCCAACCATGAATCCTCTGAAACTGTGAAGCAAATTAAACCTCAGGTCCTTTAAGTTGTGTGTGTCAGGTACTGTGTACCAGCAATGGTAAAATAGTTAATACAGGAGTCTCTCGTGAACACTGGCCACTGCTCTCGCCTGGATCCTCCCAAAGGTCCTCTCTTGATGAGGGTATCCTGTATGCTTTCCTTTCCTGGATCCTGGATATTTTTACAGAATTTTTTTTCTCCTCAAATTAAAAGAGGAAATGTCCTGTTGACATATCAGAATTTAAAATCATCTGTGATTTTTATGAGTATGAAAACTAGTATAACATTTTTAAATAAAATGTAGGCAATATTTATAAAAAATTAAACTATACCCATTATTCCCACTTCAACTGAATGTCCATGTTGTTACCTTCTTAGTCGAAAAGACATAGGTTTGCTCAAGTGTTTGTACACAAAATATTGATTTCACTTTGGATCATTGTAAGAACAAATGCAGAATAATTTAAGTGTCCACCAGGGAAATGGTTTGAATATTTGTAGCATATAGATGCTTTAGAATTCTGGAGAGTAGCATGCTGTCATAGGAAGATTCTGAATCCATTGTATTAAGTGTTATAGGCAGCTTTAACTTAATACATACATCGTTACCCACTGTATTACTCAGCTATCCCATTGCTGGAACACAATGCCTGACACCCACACTTACAGGAGAGGTTTAATTTAGCTGATGGTTTCAGGGGATTCAGTCCATGGTCAGTTGGCTCCAAAGCAGGAACATGATGGTGGAAAGGAACCGTGGAGCAAAGATGCTTAGTTCTTGCTGGCTGGGAGACAGAGTGGCGGCACAGTGCCAGAGAGTTAGGAGCCAGGGTACATAACCAAATTCATACTTACATGACCCTCTCACACATTCCCAGGAAAGTCCTTTACGAGGAGGCCCCCAAACCAATCAAAATGACATAATTAAGATTAATATTCACACTCATATATGTTAACATGACTAATATAACTTATTACCACATCTGCATATGAAAAATGTCTAAAATACACTTTAAAATAATATGCACTAGATTAATCAGAGTGATCTTTGAAGAGGGGAGGAACTTTGGAAAGAGAAAATTATGATATATATGTATTGTTAAATGTTTTTGCATCAGAAAGAAATGCAATTAAAATATTTCAATAAGCCTAACAGCAAAAATAGTAGCTGTGTGTTATTTAAAGTAACTGTTAGCTGATACAAGAGACCAAATCTAAACTTTGAACAGCTTGACATCATGAGGGCTTTGTGTGTAAATACATTCTGATATGGTTCTGTAGGAGCTGCCTGCTCTTAGAAGTACCAGGGGTCCTGACTGCTTCCTTCTTGTGGTTCCTTCATGTGAACAAGGTGCTGCCACATTTGCTGGAAGGGAGAGAAAAGCATGGCAATGCATACTGGCTTTCAAATTACCGGATGTGACAAGCAACATTTTCAATACATGTTTCATTGGGAAGGAAATGTCACATGCCTCTTCATAATGACAAGGGGACAGTCACGTTCCCCTGTGGTCAGGAAAGACAGGAGGACTGTCACAGAGTAGGTACTACTTTCCTTGTTAGGCAACATCACTCCTCATTCTTGGAGATGTTATGGAGAAGACCAGATTTGCCTTAAAATCCTCTGAACTCTTAAGTGTTTACACTTGATACATGCTTTTAAATCTTACATTATCTGATCGGATTTAAAGAGGATCATGTAAAAGCCAGCAGAGTGGAGTCACCTTCCTTCTACAATAGTGGTTTTCTGCACTTCCCTTTGCAATACTCTCTATCTTCTCAGAAGGAGGATTTTCTCCTGCCATTTGATACAGGCCTCAAATCTTAACTTGTGAAGCTCTGTCCCCTTCACATGAGCATTGCTACCTCAGCACCTGGACAGGTCATCAGTCACTCTGAAAGCTGGTACTTTCCCGAGAAGCAGGTGTCAGACGGGAGGCATACGAAAGATGGCAAATTATTTTTTCTCTTCCAACTTGAGCCAGCATGTCCATGGAAAGAGAACCCAGGGAAAGGCTTGTATAGCAGGAAACTGCTAGCACTGGATAGAAATACACACAACTTGGCACAGTTGGTGGAATGTGTTGTGTCTAGATATCCCTCCAAAGCTTCATACAGTCATAGGTGGCACATTTCTGAGGTGGCTGGATCTAGAGTGTGTGACACTGGGACTAAGGGTGTGATGCTGGGATTAAGGATGTGTGATTACTAAATTAGTCCACTGAATGGTTTGGCATAGTTCTGGGTATAGATAATGAGAAGGCCCACCCTGGGTGTTTTACTTGCCCTAAGGGCATAAAACCTGGATAGACTACAACAGACAGACAGAGGGCTGCTATTGTTGCTTGCTGCTTTTTTTTTCCCCCCCTCGTACTGGGGATTGAACTCAGGACCTTGTGCTTTCAAGGCAGGCGATCCACCACTGAGCTAAATCCCCGGCCCCTGCTTGCTACTTTTGCTGCCGTTGGCCTGCCATAAGCTGTTTCTCCTCTGTGTTGCCCCTCTATCATGCTACCCTGCCTTGGAACCAGCCTACTATGGGCTGAAACTTCTACAAACTGTGAGTCAAAGTAAACTTTTCCTCCTTTAACTTTGGATGTTGGGTATTTTGTCTTAGCAATGAGAAAAGTAAGACAGTTGGCTCTCAAGGACAGATATTTTCCCCACCTGTCTTTGACTCTCACTGTCATCTCTAGATTTGCTCATAGTGCATTAGCCTCCCCCACCATCCTTCTTTTGGTTATCAGAGAGACACTAAACTGTGCTGAGAAATTATTTGTAAACCAGCAGTTTGGCCCTGGGATAGGAGTGAGATCAGCAGTGGTCTCCAGATGTACTCACACAGCCCTGTCACTTACCAGCCAGTCACCTGGGAAATTCCCAGCCCTGGGAGACTGGAGCTCTTCATCTGTGAAGCAAGTCTGATCAGACCTGTCCAGTAGGACTGCAGGAAGGTTGATGTCAAGCACCCAGCCCAGTGCCTGGCTTGAGTTAGCTACTATTTCTAACAGGATTTGATCCCACCCCTGGCACTCTAGGATGTTCTTATTGTCATTGCTGTCCAGGACATATCAGAGAATATGCACCTCTACAGGATGTGGAGAGCTAATCAGCCCAAATAGGAAATTTCATGAGTAAAATTCAGTGACTCCTCCCTTTTTGAAGACCTATTACAAAATTTGTTCATAGTACCATCTTTCCCAGTGGATACAACCCAAAGTTCCTAGAATATGAGTGAAGGGCCAGCTGTTTCTCTCCCTCCCAGCTGCTTTTCCACTCAAGCCACTATTTTCATCCCGCACAAAACCTAGCCCTTGTTTAGAGTTATGCCAACTACATTAAAGGTAACATGAGTATAATGCTCCAGTGGACTTTTCTCTGCCTCTCCCAGGCCAAGAAAATGTGTCAGTCTAGTGCTTTCTGGACACAGCTTCAAAGAAATGTCCCCTATTTGCCTGGAAATCCTTGCAGGTGACAGTTACAAATCACCTAGTTCTTATGTTATGTCCAGCTGCACTGGGACAAGAGCTCAGGACACATCTAATACCTGGTCCAGGTGGACATTCCTCTCTGCTTTATCCATGAACCAAGCAGAACTGCTCAGAGCAGTTTTCCATTGTAAGCCCCAAGATACCCCAACGGAGTGTCTGGCCCTGGGCACCATGCAGTAAAATCGGCTCTCAAAGAAGGAACTGCGGTTTCCCCAAGCCCCAAGCTGCCCTAAGCATTCGCCCTTCCCTGCAGCATCCCCCTCCCTTTAAGCCCTGGAGGACAGCTCTCCATTTCCTGCCACAACTGGAAATGGCCCAAGACTCCACCATCCTATGGGGAAGAGCAGGTCCTGCTCAGCCTAGTTTACTCACTTCTCCACCGCTAACACACAGCCTTCCAAAGAGCATCTGCCCCAAGAAGGTCTGGGGTCAATGTATCTGTGACCAGGTGGGGTTCTTCCTTAAAAGTAAATTTCTCCAATATTTTTGAGTAAGCCAAATACATACTGTATAGGCATAAGGACAACTAAAAGGGATAAAGGAAAGTAAACATTGTTTTTAACTTTTTTCTGTATTTATTGACCCCATCTATTTTATTGATGATTTCTTTCACATTTCCAAGACATCTTTTATTCCAAAGACAGATTACTTTGTTCCAGATCACCAAATAGGATGGGAGATTTTTATGATTTTTTTTTTACATAGCAGAAGAGCTCTTAAAATGTATAAACAGGAATATGTTTGTGACCAGTGACATCAAAATTTACAACTTGAAGTTAACTAAATCTTCTATTAAAAGGAAGAATGTATTAAAAAATAACAAAAAGAAAAAATCTTCAAGTCAACCACATAGGAGAGAAATACAAAGATTATATACTGAATTTACCCAATCCCCATTCTGCATCTGAACTATTTAGAAAAATGACTGCTCTTTTCAAGCACAGAGTTTAGTATCTGCCTCAGAAATTACATGGGACAGGAGAAGCTGCTGGATTTGGCCTTCAAATGTTCCCTGGCCCTGGCCCTGGCCCTAGTCATCACTCTTCCACTGGCCCTAAGTGTGGGTCTCTCTCTTCTTCATCTTCTGAACCCTCCTCATGACAGACAGGCAAGGCCTTAAGGGTGGTATCTTTGAGCATGCCCCAAAATTCCAGGACTTCTTCCTCACTGGTTTCAGTGTGGACCCTTAGACCCCATAGGAACTCATATCGAGGAGGATCACTGCTGGGCACCTCCAAACATCCTAAGTACTGTTCCTGCACCAAATCCTTGGTGAGGAATTTTCTGGGCTCCCCATAAATGCAGTGGTCCCTTCCAGGATACAACCCCATCTGATTCAGCATTTCCCAGATGGCTTCCTCACTGGCACGGTTGTCCTGAATGTGGATGATACCCAGGATGATTATCAGGAGGATGGTCCTGGGGTACTTCTGGCCATCACCCACCATCCCATCATAGGTGAGGCCCAGGGCAGGTACAAGAACATAGGAGTGGCTGTGAGGGTCCACTTCCTTCACATCAATGCCAAAGACCAGCTGCATGCAGTGAGAGGCTTCCCTGAAGAGCACAAGAAAGTACTCCTGGTAATCCTTGGTGACAACCATCAGCATTTCTGCCTTGGTGGTCAGCTCCTTCATTAGATGCTGAAGGGTCAGGAACTCCATCAATTCAGCCACCTTAGTCTATATGACATCACTAATCAGGACTCAGTGTCTAGCAGTGCCCACGAGAGGGATGAACCCTCCCCTTGTTCGCTGCTGGAGTCCCCATGAGATTGGCTTGATGGGGTGGCAGCTGTGGCATTGGGTAGAGAGGAGCCTCCCTGAGGACCCAGCGTTCCACCAGCAGAAATCTCCTCTATGGTGCCTAGGATCAGACAACAGAAGGAAGAAGAGGATGAGGAGGAAAGGCAATGAGAGGGAGTGAAAGAGATGACCTCCTTCTATACATAGTTCAAAATCTGCCCACCCACCAAGCCCTGTGTCTCACTTTGGTCCTGGTGGGGACTCAAGGACCTGGGAGAGAGAGAGGTTGTGAGCACCATTCAAAGAGAAGGAAAGGGGAAGTACATTAATCCATGGTCCCTGGGTCTTCCCGTAGGTGACAGTAGAGACAGGTTGAGGCTGCAGTTCTGTATGTCCGGGTATGGGGTTCTCTCTGCCCACACCTAGACTCTTGGCAGTGCTTGGGATCTGTAGGGCTCCCAGGCTGGTAACAGTAGATACCAGGCTCTGTGGACTCCCTTCTTTTGGGGTGTGCCGAGTACTTCCATACCTTTAAGCCTCACGCAAGTTCCTCACCTTGATTGCTGGCAGGTCCTGGCCTCCTCAATCTGCTGACCAGTCGTGGCTCCTCTACTGACCTGGTGACCCAGTGCACACCAAGGTGTGACGTCCCTGAGCTCAAGCAGACAGAAATGAGATGCAGCACTTTTGGACACCCCTGAATGGGGGTTCCCCAAGGTCTGGACATCAGAACGAGGTTACAGAAGCCCTCCTTTATCTGGAGCATTCCCAGAGATTCACATTTCCCCTCTGCTGACCCGTGCATGCATCTTGCAATCCAAGGCTATCATCTCCCTGTGACCCCAGGGGTGGAAGATGGTGTGTGTGTGTGGGGGTGACTCTTTCTCTCAGACCTGCCTGGGGCTACCCCACACCAGGTGTATGTTTATCATGTCTTGTATCTGTTTAACTGCTGCCACACTCCTCAGACCAAGTCCCACTCTTTCTTGACACCAAGAGCCAGGGGCAAAGACACACTGAGCCGTCCAGGGCTGACAACACGGTGGCAGTCACCCTCTGGTCTAGCGTGTAAGGCTCCCTCAACTGTCCTCCCTGTAAGTCCTCCCCTTGAGTCTTTGCAAGAGCCCTACCCTCTTGTGGCCCTGAGTCCTCCTCCCTCAGATTTCAGGTGGGAATGCAGGAGACAATTCAGTGTGAAAGCATAGGCATACTGAGTTCTACTTGTCATGGGTCCTGGGACACTCAGTGCTGTTTCATTTCTCACTCTGACTTGGGGCAGAGCCTGGAACTAATTGATCCCAGGCTGTCTCTGCTCCTGCCACATGAAGCATGGACCTCAGAAGAAGGATCCGACTCTGTCAGGTTCTAGTAAGGCAAAATCTGGCCCTCACCTAAGAATTCTGCACCAGATGGTCCAGGGCAAGCAACAGAGGCTTTTCTAGATTATTCTGGAACCCTCTTTCTGAGGTAAAGCTTTCTTTCCTCAGCCCCTCTCCCTTTGACCTAACTGACCCCAGGCCTTCTCTGCTCTTCCCACCTTAGGACACACCTCAGAACAAGGCTCTGATATCCTCCCAGTTTCCAGAGAGACCAAAAGGGGGCCCTCGCTTGAGAATTCTGCACTGCGAGGTGTAGAGCAGACAACAGAGGCTTTTCTACAGTGTTCTGGGACTTCGTAGCAGGTGTGAGGCTTCCTCAGTGCCCCACAGCTCCTCACACTAACCTGAGCCCAGGTTCTCTCCAATCTTCCCACTGAAGCTCAGCCCTTAGAACACGGCTCTGGCTCTCCCCTATGGGTGCCCTTAGGCAGAAAGGGGTCCTCACTTGAAAATTTTTCCTGAGAGTGGCAGGCTAACAACAGGGTAAATCTGGATTGTTTCAGGTCTCTCTCCCTCTTTCTCTGGAGTGGAACTTCCTCACTCCCCCCATAACACTTCAACCTGACCCCAAACTGAGCCTGGCCCTCTCTGCTCCCCTCACCTGAAGCGGGTAAACAGAACAGGGCCTCATGTTGCTATGACTCCACGAAGCTGGAGTCAGTGGAAGTCACATCCAGCAATGCGCAGAGTAGAGGCAAGGGAAATCTGACACTAGGGGTGGAATGGGATTTTGTCCGAGTCTGAGTTGATGCCCGATGGGTTGTTTGACCCATCCTGGTAGGTGACTGGAGTTCAGACGTGTGCTCTTCCGATCTTAGGGGTGGAATGGGATTTTGTGCTCTCCATCTGTCCTCAGGGGTCGTCACTTTGGCTCCTGGCAGAACCCGGACCACTATGGACTTGAGTCTGTTCTCCTCAGACCAAGGCTCTGACTCCAGGGACCCCTGAGGCCAAAAGGGAGAGGCTCATTCTTACAAGTCTGCCTCTCTGTCGGCCCCAGCTGACAAGAAAGACAGAACTAGGTTGTGTGGTGACCCTGTGTAGTTAGGCCTTCCTTACTTCCCCAAGCTCATCACCATGATTCCTAACAGAACCCAGCCCTCGCTGCTTCCCTCACCTGAAGCACACACCTCAGAATGGAACCTCACATTGCTCTGACCCCTCGAAGCACGAGCCAGTGGACATCACATCTGGCAACGTGGCTGGGGTCTCTCATAGCTGACATCAGGGGTGGAACAGTATTCTCCGAGTGCCCTCTGTCCTCTCTAGGGATTGTCACCTTGGTTCCTGTCAGAGCCTGCACCTCTGTGCTCTGTGGACCTGAGTCGGTTCCTCTCAGACCAAGGCTTGGAATCCTAGGTTTCCTGAGCAGGAAAGGGGGCTCACAAGAAATTTCTCACCGTGGGGTTCAGGCCTGATTAAAAAGTCAGATTGGGACGGTTTGGGGACCCTGTCTATGGAGTGCACTTGCCCAGTCCATCCTCAGGTCTTAAGTTTACCTAACACAGCCCAGTCCCTCCTTGAAGCCCGGAACTCAGACCAAGTCCGCCACATTGACCTGACCCCACGAGTGTGGAGTCAGTGGAGGTCACATCAGGTGACGTGTCCGGGGTCTGACTTTAGGAGCAGAACAGTCATCTGCTGGTTCCTCTGGCTTCCCTGCATCATCACTTTGGTTCCAAGCAGACACTAGACTCTAGTCCTGCCCACCTCAGTCAGGTTCCCTGAGTCTCTGATAGATCCCATGGAGGCAGCCATGGGAGGGAAGAGGAGTGGTCAGGTTGACTTTCCTGTCTGGGGTCTCCAGGGCTGACCTCAGGGGCCGGACTGAGGAGCCCAAGATTATGGCGATCTCTTCAAGGACAGAGACATCCTCCTATGAGGTCTCTTCACCAGCCAGATGCAGATCTCCCCAACCTTTCCTTCTAAAAAACTGATGTTGATTAGAAAAAGGTGAGCAGCAGCAGGGGACTGGTGTGAGTCTTGCTTCTGTGATGTGATCCAACTTTTCATACTCCAGGGTGTCATTATCACCTTTCAATGCTTATCTGGAGCCAGGAAGCTATTTTACATCTCTACTAAATATCTGTATGGATTTTATATCAATAAAATGTATATAGAGTGTACATCTAGACTGTAATTATGTATAGGTACAAAATCATATGTGTGCATGTATTAGGGAATATATTATATATGTCAAATGGATGTGTTTTAAGTGCATATTTATACAAATAAATTTGCACTTGTATGTAGATACATTACATATGTTTATTGGATTAAAGAATACCTACTGTCACTATGCATGATTCACTTTTTAATGTGCTATTCTAATTCTACCGCATTCCTTACATTCCATTAAAATAGGGCTGGTTTTGAAAGCCAGTCCTCCCCTACAAGGGTGGTTTCAGGTGGTTGTTAGCTCAGGCTCTGTAGCCATACTGGCTCCATTTTCCTTCTGTCCGATGTTACTCATAGGTCATTGTCATCTCTTGTATGAATTGCTGCCTCACATTGTGCAGTGATGTAGAGGCAGGAGTTGTAAAACTTTCCACCGACTCACACTGTCATGGGCCAGCTATGCAGGCCTCAGCCTCCACCCACTTCCCTGCCCCTACCCCCAAAACAAGTGCCAATTCAACAGTCTTCAGTCTCCCCCAGGGCTTCCTCAGAAAAATGTTGTTTACATTCAGTTGCCTATGTGTGTTTGCTAAGTTTTGTTTCCTCTCTTCTTTTAGTTTCCAGGGTTAAATTGGGAAGCACAAGACAGTAACACATACTGGGTTTTCATTTTGGCAGCTACGGGGAAAGTGCTGAATTATAAGGAATTAAGGAAAATTGAGTTTTACATTATTCTGTTTCCCATCAATGAATTGATTTTGTTATGCCAAGCGAGCCAGGAAATCACCCAACCCCGGGACAAAGACAGAGTTAAAAACTGAAAGGAGTTTATTCCTGTGCCTGGACTCCACCCTCTAGGAGAAGTGAAGCCCAGAAGCAGGGAACAGCACAGCTTTTATAGGTAACTCAAACAAAGAAGCTCAGGGAGAGGTCAACATGTCCTTCAACCAGCTGCAAATTATCTTTCACAACCCAGCTATCTTATCAAGATAGGACATTCTATGGCTACAGGGTTCAGCGGTTACAGGGAGGCACCAGGCACCACTTGTTCTCAGGGTGCCACAAAGCATATCTACAGAAGCAGAGCCAGTGGTTAGAAGGGTGGTTACAAAAAATACATCTTTAAGGGAAGTCCAGCACTCTGTAAGGGGAGGGGTATAAGGGGAGTTCATTCGCAGGCCAAGATGGCGTTGCTTAGGTTCACCTTTGGCCTCACAGATTTCACACTTCTTTTACCAAAATCTGTCAGCACAGTTACCTCTGTAAGACTTTAAACATTTTTTGTTAGGCTTCTTTTTAGATACAGTATTTCTAAGATTTAGTTGCTATTACAAATGACATGTTATTTATTAATTGCTCTAATCAGCGCTTTTGTGTTGCAAATATTTCTGTTTTGGCATACTAATCAGATATCTACCTGGT